CTAAAATTTAAAACAAATATAACTGTAGATGGAAAGCTATAAAAATAAATGAAGCTTGGCTATTCCCAAGAGATTCTCATCTTGTTTTCGTGAGGACCCTAAGGGGACAACATTCAACCAGCCTTAGTCTAATATAACTCAGGGCAATTAAAAACTAATTACAGCATGCACAAAGATCCAGTGCAACTCAAAAACATTTAAAATAACTACAATAAACTGCTTGACTTCCAATGATTAAGATAATTTTAATATATTGTAGGGTTCCAAAATTAAGGATAACTTTTTTTCTCAAGGTAGTCATTCTTTATTGAATTGCAGGTTTTACAGATCTACCCTACATGCACATATAAATTTAAGATGTTTAAAAAAAATATTGAGGCAAAATTTGTTGGTTCCAGAAACTGTGTATCAAATTTAAACAACTCCCAGGTTTTAAAAGGCAATAAATCAAGAAATACCTTAATGAGCTATCACAGACCTGTTTTATATCTTAATTACCTATCATAGACCTGTTATCTATGTTAAGAAATCTTAAAAAAAAAATTTTCCCTTCCTAGATGAAACCCTAATAGAAGGACTTTTTTGGTCCTATTTTAAACATACAAACACAACATAGTTCAAAAGACCTTTGATTTAATCAGTGGGCTTACTCCCTCACACCTTAATAGACAATCTTCATAATGTGATGTGAGCCCCCCAAATTATACTTGGTAGTTAACCTTATGGTGATAAGCCTCTCTGAATTTAGACACTAGTTTGCATAATGTTTTAGGCATTCCACATTATCCCTACTCCAATGCTCTGGCACATTCTATCAAGTTGGAAAGGCTTCAAGTAAGAGCCGGTCAAGGGACCGGGTACCTTTTGTCCAATGACCAACCTAGTTAAATTTGGAAAGGCTCCTCAGCAGGTTGGCTATAGTGTCAAATTTTCATGATATAAAATACTTACCTCCTGGGATATGATAGTTGACAGGGCATAAATCAAGTATAATCCAAGTGGTTAAGATAAAATATAAACTGCATTTTTTTATTTGAATCACAATTCTACCACAAGTAATTTTTCTATATTGCACATGCAAATCACTTGGAAGTCTTCCACATTTGAATAAGTGGTTGATTCTATTAAATGAAATCCCCCTTAATAGCATCCCCCCTTTTATTTCTTGTTTCATGGACTGAAATACCTGGAAAGGAATTCAAAGACACCATCTAGTCTATCCACATGTTCCAGGCAAGGGGAAAAGCTAAGTTATCTCAGAGAAATATCTCTGCCCTTTAGAGAATAACAATGTGTTTTTTTTTTCCTTCAAAAAAAAGGCAATTTGATATGTTACAAAATTTTCAAATAGTCATTGCTGGCTAATTTCCTTAGGTTATTGCTTAGCCTGTTAAGAGTGCTTAAGAGGAAAAAGTTAAAATTCTAAAGATATTTACTGAGTGTCCATTATGTGTGTGGGAGCTATAGGAAGACATTAAGTGTATATGGCATAGTTCTCATCTTGAAGGAACTTATGTTCTCAGTTGAGAACAAACATATACCATACACCCAAAACAATTAGAACAGGGTTAAAAAAAAAAGAATAAATAACTAAAATACGTAGTACAGAATAAGTGAGAGTAAAATACAAAGTACTAATATGCACAGGAATGGTCAGGTTTCATGGACTTGAAATGAGATTTTAAGGAGAGGCATGATTTGGATAGACAGAAAGGGAGGCAGCTTTTCAGGTTGTGGGAACAGTGCAACACAGGTGGGAACAACTAAGACAAGTTGGCAACAACCAGGAATGCTTCTTAATCTTAATTGTGAACATGAAGACACCAATGCAGTCCAACCCAATCACAATTTTTATTAAAGCTGATGTCAAAGTAATCCATTAGAAATTATTTGAATCTATTTAATTTACAAAGGGAGTTTTGTGTTAAGTTTTGGGCACCACAGTTTAAAGAGGACACTGATAACCTGGAGAGTGTCTAGAGGAGGGTAACTGGAAGGATGAAGGGCCTTGAGTCCATGTTGAATGAAAATCAGTTGAACAAATAGATGATGTTAGGCCTGGAGAAGACAAGACTCAAGTGGGACCTGATGGTTATCTTTAGGCATTTGAAACGCTGTCAAAAGGAGGAGGGATTAGATTTATTTTATTTAGCCCAAAGAAACAAAACTGTGAGTAACGGGTACCAGTTGCAGAAGAAATTTAGGTTGGATGTCAGGAAAAACTTTCAAACCTGCTGACAACTGGAGCTGTCCAAAACCAGAATGAGCTGCCTGGAGCTTCCTCCTTCTTAGAGGTCTTCAAGGACAGGTGTTATAGTGTAGATTGATACCTTTTACGTATGGGTTGGACTAAATGGCGGCTGAGGTTTCTCCTGTAACTGATGATCATGTGAAGGCAGACCACTCTAACAGGTCTTAAAGTTGCATAATTTTTTTCATAATTCAAAATATAAAATTGCCACAGTAACTTTTAAAAAAGAAAATGCATTTATTATCAAGATTCATTAAATACAGTCAAAATATTGTTTTATCCTGTTGGTATTTGCACATTGTAATAGTAGTTCAAAGCACAATGCATAAGTGTCCTAATTGAAAAAGCTTCCAATTTACTTTAAAATTTTTCTGCCAAAAGAAAGCTAGTAGTTTTAAGTTTTAAGTTAACATAAGCACTGAAATCCAAATTATAAATATTCTATTAAATTATTAAAAAATAAATGTCACATTTAATTTAATTTCATTTAGACAATGAAAATTCAACCATTTGATATTTTAAAAAAACCTGGTATTTTACAAATAAGTCTTTTTCTGCATATTTGAGCTGAATGATATTTTGGGTTACTTTACAAAATATACAGATAGTAAGAGTAAACAAAACATAAAGCTAATAAACTGATTTGTCTTCAGGTTAGTAAATAATCTTAATGTTTAACAAATGTTTACCCTTGTAGAAATTAAGCTACTTTCAAGTGGTTTAGTGGATTTTCAAATAGAGTCAAGATTCACAGTTACATTTCCTACCATTTTTCATTACTTATCTCAGATGTTCCTTCTTCACAGTTAACAATAATTAGCTTCTGGGAGTTAGATGAAAACTCTTTTTCTGAATGTCTTTTTTCAACCCCTATTTTTTCCACAGAAACAAAAACTTTTGTCCCAAGTTATGGAAATATTATAAAGATCTCCCTTGAGTATTTTTCATGGCTTGAAAGTTCAGCAATAGAGAACAATGTTTACTGAGGTAATAGCTTATAACTTCTAAATGTATAAAGTACAAAAAGTTTAGCAATTCAATCAGGTATCTTCAATTTTTTTATTTTTTTGTTTGAGAAACTCAAAGTGATTTTATATATGACATACACCCATCTTCTATGGTTGTTTTGAGGAAAGCATTTTGAAAACTATAAAGAAACACATAAGTGGGAGATACTATTGTGCATTTTTCCCTTATAATTTTTCTATTTGGTAAAAAAGACAGTAATTTTACATAAATCGTCAGAGGACCAAGCATCTACAAAATGAAAAAGAAGTTGAACATTAAATCTGCAAGCCTGATTTGACATTATGTAGACAAAAACAACAAAACTGATTGAATTTGACCTAAAATTGGTCAAAATCCGTGTTTGTGCAATATAGACTTGCCCAAGGTCATATAATCAGTCAGTATCCATGAGAAATGGAAAATACTTATAATTCAATGCCTTCCACTAGAATGAAAAGCAGCCTTTTAAAAAAATCTCATTGGCTAAGATCAGGATAGAAGTTTTACTAACTAAGCACATATACACTGATTCAAATGTTTAATATTCAGAAAGATTAAAGTAATTTTTTTCAATGCAGAAATCAGAATTCAATTCATTGAACATCTACCAAGCACCTGTTATGTGCCCTGCACTGTGAGTAGAAAGAGTTTGCAAAGCTTAGTTATATTCTCTTTAAACATGCCCACTTCCCATTGGCCTCTGTGTGAATAGGCCAATAGCTAGGCCAAAATTCTCACTGAAAAAAAAAAAGCAGCCACAGAACTCACCCTCTAAGAAACGATTTAAAAGTTAAGTTTTTATGCAAGTTGGAATAAAAGGATCAGGAAGTTAAAAAGATTCTCAAGTGCACATTCCATAACTGGATTTTAGGAAAACCTAAATGGAAGGGAATGTTGAGATCCTTTCCCCCACTTCAATGGCTTCATACTTCAGTAGTATCTGAATCTAAATAAATAAAAAACCATATGTATAAAACATTTACATACATATCTCATATAGAAGGAATACTCAATAATCTATAAGTAGTTTTATTTATCTTGTACTAGTTATAATTTTTTGCTATTGGTGTTAAGGACAAGTAAATACAAGTTTATTGTTTTATAAGATAAGCTCAAAAAGGAAATTTTGTTTCTCTTGAAACTAATAGGGGAAAAAAGAAAATGTGAGCTTCTAATACTAAATCCTGTCCTCCTCTAATTTTTAGTCACTGAGATTGTTTTAAACTTTGCTTTCAGTGATTAGGTAATTTTGTACAGTGTTCCTTAAAATTTTAAAGTTAAAACATCCCTTGAATTTTACCTTCTTTAATAATTGCACATTATTTTTAGTTAACTTAAGTTACATTTGAGTTCTTTCATTAACCAATCTAACTTTTTAAGAACATGTTGCCTGTCATGAGTTAAAAAATAATTTCCTATTTCTGAGTTTATTCGATAGTTTTAACAAAAAGTTTTACCATTGAAAGCAGCGATAAAGCAATGCTCAGAAATAAAGGAAATGGTATCAGTTCATATTTTCAAACTGGAAGAAATTTCAAGAAGTATAAAGATTATTAAATTAAAATTATTATAAATAATTATTTCAATTACATGAAACAGAATTTTTATTTTAAGGCATATGCAACAGAAAAAAAATCATAAGCAATCTTGGCTTAATGTGATAAAGCAGAAAATGATAATTGCTATCAAGTTTTAAGGCTGTAACTGTCAGTTTAGATGAAATAGCACTTTTGCAAAAGAATTATTGGATGAAAAATTTTATTGACATTATACATCAAAATATAGATGAAGCTTTTCAAGCAATTTAATCTTGTTCTCTCACTATCAGAGTCTGCCAAATAAACTGGATTTTCAATAAGAAACTGTTTTAGGAAGCCAAGATTAATTTTTCTGTCCTAGATAAGGCATTCATTTAATAAGAACCTACAAAAACCTAGGTTTTGGTCCCAGTTAGGCCACTAACAAGCATTAACTTGGCTCACAAACTCTTTGGACTTTTAGTTTCTTCATTTTCAAACTGCAGAGGACAAGACTAGAAGATTCTCAAGGGTCCCACCAGTTCTTAAATTCTATGGCCTTCTGATCATTAAATACACTAAGCAAAAATAAGGGTCCTGGTGTTCAGATGGCCTGAAGGGAATTGTTTTAAGAAACTATGCTTAAATCACTTTAGCTCCTTCCATTGGTAATTAACTAATGCAAAGTTAAACATTAAACCAAAGAACCAAATTCCCTTATAGTCCAAATTCTGTCTGTGTCATTTTCTGATCTTTGAAAGAGAAAAATTAGCTATGACTCAGTAAGTTATACTTTGGCCTTAAAAACAGATCATAGCTACATATCATACATATTTTGTAAATTAGTTACTGAACTGTACTATCTTGGCAGTTGCACAATCAGTCTTTGTTAAGGGATTTATAGGAAGAGCAAAAGTAAAAAAAAAAAAAGGTATAAAGGTGATTTTTGACTCACTGACCTCTAGGAGACCTGGATTTATGTCTTTGGATTAATTGCCAGATTCCCAATTCAATGAGCCTTAAATCATAGAACATTAGAGCAGGAATGGGACTTCAGAGTTCACCTAATCTAATCCTTTCACAGGTGAAGAAACAAAGGTAGAGAAATTAATGTGGGTAGAGGGACTCAAACTAAGTCTCTTGATAATTTAGTGTTCTTTCTATCACATCACACTTTGTATGTTATCAGGCTACCATTTGCTCCCACCTGATTACAACCACTCAAACAAAATCTAATGTTAATGAAAAAAATGAAAGCTATCATGCCAAGACATAATAAGCTATTAGAAAACAGATTTAATTTTTGGTGTTGGTGACTAAAATTTTAGTCACTTCTTTTTTCATCAGCTTTTGGAAAAAAGGTTATAACAAGATATGTTATATTAAATCCTTAATTGGCACCCAATTTTAAAGTTGTTTTACTTGTACTACATTACATAAAAACAGTATTTTGTGCATATTCCCCAAACTCCAACATTCTATGCCCTACTTACCTGAGAGGGTCAGTTATTAAATAAAAAAAAAATAGGGGAACTGCTTTCTTTTATATTTTAGTTATTTCTACATATATTTAAGAACTAGTAAGATATTTGTGTGATTCTTTAATAGTACAATCTGTTCAAAGGTTCACTGGGACAAAAATAGCAATTTGTCACTAGTCGTGGAACTAAATTCAAGCCAGAAGAAAAGTATTTAACCAGAGGCCCAGGGGCAAGATATGCTTTCAGAAAAAAATATTCTGCATACAATGCACTTGAAAATTGCACAGACCATATGTTTTTATTTAATGTGAAGGCACAACTAACATTTTGGCTCTTAAAATACATTTTAATTATTTATGCTGTACTTTGTACCAGCTCATAAAAAAATACATATGCAAGCATTACAAATTATTGAAGATTCTTTCAAATTTCCCATTCAAAATTCATATTTTAAAAAATCAAACTTCATTTGTCTATTTGTAGAAAAACGTATATAATAGATTATTGCAGGTTCACCTAATATCACTGTCTGACAGTTTGTTGATCAGTTGTCACATTTTCTTCACTAGCTCCAGAGTCCAAGTTTTCCATCATCTAAACACAAAAGAAAACATTGAAAAAAAATTTCAATATTCCCCAATTTTTCAATGAGTTGACATAGAAAGCCCCTAGTTCCCAGGAGGACATTACATGAACTCTCAGGATTGAAAGGTGTCCCTTTTTGCTAAGAGGTAAGGAGAGAATACATTCTAGATATGAAGGACACCTTTATGTGAGATGGAGTGCAGAGCCTGGAGAATATTTGAGTAGCCATCCTTTCTCTTCTTTCCCTTTTGATTGATCAGGTGCTCCTTTCAAAATGTGACCCCAATCCCCACCATCTTACTGTCTAAGAGAAAAAGAATTTTCAAATGAATTTATAGGAACAAATATTCTCTTAATGCACTTCCTATCCCTTAAAATCTTTCGAATAAAAAGAAAAAAATTCAGATTCAAATACAAATGCAAAGCTTTTTTTTAAATGCTAAACTTTTAATATGCCCTGAATGTCTTCTAAAATTTATAAAAGGAAACAAAATATTTTTCCTAAGTCATCACATCTTCAAAAAGACATAAAACTAATGACAATATAAACAGAAAGAATGCAAAAAAAATTGTGAACAGACTAGCACAAAATGGAGATTTTCTCTGAACTTGAAAAGTGGTTGATTTGGTCATTTACAGATAGCTATCCTATTTATAAATGGAGCCTTCTCAAAAATCAGGTCATTAAATATTCAATAAAATGATAAAACTGGAAAGGTGCTGATATAAAGATTTAAATGGCTGTTCTGAGTGCTTTTACATTATCACTTGTTAGTTTCAGCTTGTGACTTCTAAAAATAATAGAAGTACTTGTGACATTTAGCAGAGCCAAAATGGATGGATTGTAGGATGCTAGCCAGATGTAAAGTTATTTCCCATTCAGATAAAAATAATGACAAAAATTGAGGCTTTTAACTCAGTGTTTTAGAATTTGAAATTTTTACTACAAAAATAAAATGATTCTCTAAAATCCTTTACAGCTCTAAGTACATCAAGCAAACCACAGGTTTTTCGAAGGAAAACATACCATTATATATTATGTTAGTCAGAAACAAAGACTGAGTCAAATCAAATCAATGAAACAGAAAAAAATTTTTTATACTTAGAAACATATTATTCCATGGCAGCTCATGTACATATAGAACAAATACATAATGTGCTTTCTCCAAGTTAAGAATGCTTCAATGAGTCTGAATTCTTGATGTAGTAATTTACTACTTCTGTACAGAAAAGATCAGATAGGATGGAGAATAAAGACTAAAGAATAAGTCCCTTGCTTTTTTAAAGCAGACCTTTCATTCTATAAGCACAGATGTAAGCAAGGTCTGATCTTTTTTTTTTTTTGAGGCAATTGGGGTTAAGTGACTTGCCCAGGGTCACACAGCTAGTAGGTGTCAAGTGTTTGGTCTGAGTTTGGATTTGAATTCAGGTTCTCGTGACCTTAGGGCCAGTGCTCTATCCACTGCGCCACCTAGCTGCTCCAAAGTCTGCTGTTTGAATCACATAATTTTTTCTCCACTAGAATGTGAGTTCCTTAAGAGACTTAGTGATTACTTCATTCTTTGTATTTGTACCCCTATAGCCTTGCATGGTGTCTGGCACATAGCAAGTGCTTAATAAATGCTTCTGATTAGTTGTATGACGAGTAGGAAGACTACATAATGGAGAAAAGTGATAATGACAATATATCAAATAAGTATATCACTGAATCAGAAAATCCTATAATTGGGAGGGATCTAAATGTCGTCTGATAATACAGCAGCTTCCCAAGCAGTATCGTCATTCACATTTAGCTCTATATGTCTAATGTTTTTTATGAATGCTTAAGAAGTGGTAAAATATTTTTGCTGACATTCAACAATTTTAAAATACAGCAATATATTATATCACTGTATTCCTTTGTGTCCTGTAGGGTTTTTGGTCTTAAAGAGTTCTTTATTAAAACGCAGTTACCCCACACAGATACTGCTTTGAGAGTGACTCTTTTCTGTTATTACTGGGTCACAAAAGGACATTAATTTTTGTAAGATTCTCTCTAAATATGAAACTTCTGTGGGCTGTGAATTAAGAATAAGAATTTCGGAGCTGATCTGAAAGACAATGAGAGACTACTTTGCCTTTTGTGCAGCAGAATGACATGATGAAAATGATCCTAGATGAAGATGCCTATGATTGCAGAAACATATTGCTGGTTCGTGTAAGTCATTAATATGACAGTACTAGAAAAATGACCACTGCCACCTTAAAGTGGGAGTAGTTAAAAAACAGAATTGCAAAGGTGAGTTTAAAAGTTCAAATGATGGGAAGAAAGCTGGGAACTGAATATAGATGATTCAAGTTGAAAATCTCTTTCTCTTAGCAAACCTGGAACATTTTTCCATTCTCTCTGATGAAGTATGGACTTAACTCGATACCAGCTGACTGTGTGTGACCTATTGGCAAATGTTAACCTATGATGCAAGAAAATTTTCACCCAAATGAGAGTGTACATTCCTTTCAGGACAGCTTCTCTATTCATTCAAATATTCCAGAAATGTCATTCAGCTTCTTCACAAATTATGAATAGCTTCTTTAGCACTTTGATAATTGTTACATATAGAAAATAAAATATATTTAATCCCCTAACTTCTCTTCCAAATATTTTTATTCTAAGATAGAGGAACAGGATGAGGTCAAAAGATTCTGGGTCTCATCCATGTTTCCAGGAGAGAAAGGAGAGAATGTTAGGTGATTGAAAGGCATTTACATTTATTATTTCCTATTTCTTTTTGAGTTATATTTTTAATTAACCCTTTTTAAGGATTTTAGGAATCATTTTTGATAACTGTAAATGAATCATTAATTCATCAAAGCAGATCCAATATGATCTCTGCTTTGAGGCAGATTAAGTATATGTATATGGTATCTACAATTCTTGAAAGGTATATATTTTGTATTTTTTTAAAAAGTTTTATAAATTAACTTCCTATAACTTTTTATAAATTAATTATTTTCACTAACTCAGACTTGTGTCTCCTAACCTCTTAGAAAGGGCTTACTGTAGTGCAGAGTAGTAGGTGGATGGAAGGTATTAATTTCAATTTGTAAAAAAAGATAATACATGGGTGACAATTAATTTCTCCATAAATAAAACCTCTGTATTGGATGCTTAGGCTACCTATCCCACTTCAAACAAAACTTTTCTAGTTTGTGTCTATGGCACAAACACTTACGATAGTCACAATGAGTTACTAATAAACTATTCCTCTCTCTCCTTTCCTGCACATTTCCTTTAGATGGATTTGGTGCAATGCTCCTCTTATTTACTTTCTCTATTGATACTAAAAGTATATTGAATCTGTACATTTTTATACTTGTATAGTATTACCAATTGAATTAGATTTATTCATAATTAGAGTAGGTCTTAGTTCCCAAATTCATGAATAATTGTCATTAAACTTCTAAAACACTGGGATTCTGATTCATGGTTTCCACATATATAAATAGATGTAGTATCAGCAGAAATGGGGTCCAAATGTGGCTGCTTCTACCCACCCTCCTTCCAAGAAGAGTTATGTCTTATAACTTAGCAGATAAATAAAGCACTTAATTATGGGATAGTCCATAGGAAATTACCTAAAAAGTAAAAGCAAGCCTTGCTATAAACTGTTGCTTTTCAAATTGACTTAGCAGAATAATGACACTTTGATGCATCAGTAATCTTACTTTCTCCATTGGCTCAGATGACAACCTTCCATGTCTTCTCGTCTTGTTCAAGTCCTTCCATTAATCTTTCAGATGAATGAATATATGAAAAAGCATTTATTAAGTGCTAACTATATGCCTACTACTGTGATAAGCTTGGGGATACAAATTCAAGAGAGGCAGTTGCTTTCTTCATGGAGCTTACATGTTAACACGAGTAGGGAAGAACATTATCTGCCATGTAGTTTAGATTAGATTTTCCTAAGGTATTTGAAACCATTCTTGAGACAGGCGTGAGCCAGTGGTGTCTCCTGGTGAGCGCAATGCACAAGACAGCCACCAAGGAGGCAGGAAGGCTGCACCCAAGTGAATCAATGTTGGTTCCTTACTGAGTGTCCTTTCAATGCACTGGCTAATTCAACTTCCAGTTATTGTTAGATGATCTATTAGTTTCTCGTTTTCTTCTGAACCTGAAGCACCAGAAGAAGTTCTGTTCTACAAATGGTAGAAGTGACAGGGCTGGATTGGAATGGTTTTGCTGAAGTGGGGAAAAGGGGATGCAGAGAAAGGCAAGCCCTGGGTGGTCTCCTTGCTTATTGAGGGGGGTAACGGGTACATATTGTGAGAAAATCTCATTGTTCCACGGGGATTAGAGAGACAGAGAGTGAGATGTAAACTGACTGTGGGTGTTTAGCAATTAGAGACCTATGTGAGTGTGTTCCATCTTTAGGAATCATGCACTGATAATGATAAATGCTATAAACTACCATTTGATGAATTTGTATAATTTTTCTATTTGGGTATAAATAGTGATCTCCAGGCTCACCAGCTGTGGCAGGCTTGAGCTTTTTCTTAAGAATGGAATGCAAAAATTGTCTAAGAACTGTTCTGAAGGAACACATCAGGATTTTTTCTATTGTACTTGGAGACCTTTATTGGTATTCTCTGGTTAAAGGCACTGGGGGAGCCCCATGAAGGGACAATGCTTGATCTTCTCCAGGAGCCTAGCAATCTTTCCAGAACTGGGGATGTGGACAAATGTGCCACATGGACAAGTTGATCTGCTGAGGACAGGAGACACTAGATCAGTTTAAAAAGAGCAGAAGAAGAGACTGCTTCCATTCTTGCTCCTGTGAACCACAGTTTCCTTTGTCTCTGGAACTTCCAGTTAGGGATAGGTGGATTGACTCCCTGCAGAGTGGATCCTAGTACATGTCCCAGGGTGGGAGGGGAAAGCACAATCACCCTCAACAGTGTTTGGCCTGGCACAGCAGAGTAAAGTTCAGGCTCTGGTAGTGGCAGCTCCCATTGGAGCACTTGGCTCTGCCATAGAGAGGTACCCCTTAGACCTCAGCAGGGGCAGCATTTGCAGCAGCACTTAGCCTGGCAGAGGACATGGCCCTAAATCTTGGCATGGGGTGGGCAGAGATAGTCCTTCCTCAGTATCAGAAGCAGAGCAGGCAATGGTGTGGGTGCCAAGGAATGGGCACTGGTTTGTGCCACAGCAAAGGCAGGACCCATGTAGCCCTTTTCTTACTGTAATCTGGAACTGACTGGGCTCTCCCCATATTGCTGCCAATATAGTAATCATTAGTTGCTGGTTAATTCCTTCTTAGAGCTGATTTAGAGAACCAAAGTGTAGCACTGATGGGAGATGGAGTGTTAAAATTGTCTCCAAGTCCTTTGGAAGAGGGGAGCAGAGGCCTCTATAGGGACGCATATTTAGTATTCCCCATATATGCCCCTCCTCCCTAACGGAACTCCCAATTCTTGGTTGGCGGATCAAGGAACATGGAGTAGGAAGTGGTACAGGATGAATCTCAATATTGACCCTTGCACTGGGACAGGCTGCATGCATGACCTCTTAGCTACCTTTGGAGAGATGACCCTGACCCAAGATGAGGATCAATGACTGTGCCAGAAGTAGCATCCTCTGTGCTGTGGCCTTCGTGTTCCTGGTGTTGCTCCTGTTCATCATCACCGCTTTCCACTGGGACTCCCACTGTGAACTGCAAAGATTTGGTATCACCCACCACAGGCCCTAGATTGTTAAGATCTGGCCCTTCGTCCTTCTCAGGTATAGGGGAAGATGAAACGTGGAATTTCTGGTCTTCATTCACTTCTGTAGTCAGTCACTCCTTCATGGGGTCATTATTACATTATTTATCTCTTTTTTTTTTTCCTGTTTTTCTTTCATCTTCACTAAGCTCTTCTTCCAGTGCTGCCTATAGTAGTAGACTTCTAGTATCCCTGAAATGAGGGCTGTCTAGTAACGGCTCTAAAGCCATTGAAGTGGTGGAAGATTCTCTGAAAACCTTTGGAACTTTGCTACCAGGTGGTAAGGTGTGGCAGGAATATTAGATGCCACTCAGACTAGACTAGCTTTTCCTTTCCATACAGAAACTCTCCGTGAGACTTAACTGACTGAGGAAACTAAGGCTCTTTGCCAGGGGTATAACTTCCTCGTGGCTGGGCAGACTGGGGGTGGGGGGAAGGGGCAGGCAGTACAGAGAGGCATAGAAGTTATACTTATGTCAATCAACACTGTGTCCTTATTGAGTCCTTTCTATGCTATGGTTAAGGTCACTTCATCTTAAAAACTGTTAGGCAGTTAAGTGTCTATGAGTGTCTTATGTCATTACAACTCTGAACCTGAAGCACCAGACTAGCCTGAATCAGGCTGGGCCTACCATAGGGAGACAACGCAAAAAAAAAAACGGTGGTCAAGGGTGTTTTCTCCTTTTACTGAATCTGGTGAATGGAGCTACATAGCAATCAACTGACAAGCCTTTTCCAGAAGTAATGATATTGTTGATTTGATTGCAATTCACAAAGAACATCAAACCAACACAGAGGCCTTTGTAGGTAGAATTTGGTAGAGACCAGTGCAATATTTGGGCTATCCATTTGGTATTCATCATTTTCACTTCATAATAGTATGCTTTATTTTATTTTTTTTAAAGACATCCAGGAAATCCTAACAGAAGATGAGATTCCATTCTTTCAATGTTTATTTTTAAGTCAACAAAATATTGACTGTCCTTGTTAAATTGGTATTCTTCAAAGTGATTACACTTTGAAAAGAATCTGAGCTAACAAAAACTTGACAGTAGTCTTTTACAACATTACTGGACCAAGTGGTTTCTCCATTGTGCACTAAATTTTTAAATGTGAAGATTCTGATAAATGGGCAAAATTTATGCAAGGTGATTCCAGGACATCAAAGTAAATCAATGCCAAGAGAAAATATGTTTTAACATTTAAAGGTTATAAAACATTTTAATCAATATTTTAGACTTTCCATTATGGGGTCTTAACCCCACTGAGGCATTTAGGAACAATGCCTTATCTGATGTCCCATGGAGATTTCATAAAGGGATTAAATATGAAGACATGAGCTTGAAGTAATGGGAGGAGTTTTCCTAATTTTATTCATAATGGATATTGTAAATGTTGATATCACAGACATGACACGGCCTAACGATTTTGTGTAATTAATTTTCCATTTAAGAAGAGCATTCAGCTCAGAATATTTCCTTATTTCTTACCTGAGACTTCTCTGACTTTTTCACCATGCCCTTATGCCTCTCCTCTCCCCCATCTTTTGCTTTTCAGTTTTCTTTTGTGTTTTGTCTTCTCCTGTTAGTCTTTAAGTTCTTTGAGGGCAGGAGCTGTGGTTTTTTTTTTTTTTTTCACATTTGTATCTACAGCACTTAGCACAGTATATAGCATACAGTAGGTGCTTAATGGATATTTGCTGACTGGCTGACAGCATAGTTAACTGGACTTGGAATACACTCATCATAACATGGACCAAAGCCATGACTTTGACCTCAGTAGCAAAGTGCTTCTATCTAGAGTTTCCCAACTATTTTCAGTCATAGTACACTTGTAAACATTGTGTGGGTGAGGCAGGGGAGGGAGAAAAGGGAGGACTTAGCTTCAGTGAACTTGCATGGAATTTCGTTTCACAGAAGAGACAGCCCAACACAAGTTCTGATAATGAAAATTTTCCCTTCCCTAGAAATTTACAGGCTAGCTGATATATCACGTTTAAATTCGTCATCACTGCCTTGTCTCTGTCTCTCTGTCTTTTTAACCAAACTTTTGATTTCATTATGGTAAGAAATTCCTAGAAAGGAAACTTGTTCTTATCAAAGCTGGCCTATACCTGCTTGGCAACTCAAAATTTTAGAGAGTTGCCTCGGGCACAGAAATTAAATGATTTGCCCAAGGTCATTATCTATGTATCAAAGACAGGACTTAAACCCAGGTCTTCCATTCTCCAAAGCTGGCTTCTTATTCACTATGCCACCTTGTCTCTTATCCTGAAACATTTTTATAAGCATCTTTAGGAGCTTAAGAGCAGCTGGTTATTTAGTTATATAAAATTATTGCTTTGGCTACTTATGGAGATTAAAAGTTAATTTTTAAGTAAAGTTATATTTTCCATGAATCATGCTTTTGTATATCTGAAGATATTTTTAGGAACTTGAAGTGACTTTTGTTTTCTGAAGTGGTTTCCCTCCTAATCTTTATCTTCTTCTTTCCACAGTTACGGTTTTTCAAAGTATCTTCTAAGATTTGTGCTTTTGGCTTCAGATACAGAGAGGAAGCTGTCAGAAACTGATGATGTGGCAGGTAGGCAGCCACCAGAAGATTCATCCTGTTTCTACAACGTCTTTGTGACCCACCAAAGTAATTGAGGAGACAGTGACCAGTCAATTAAGCTAACTAGTCATAACGGTAAGTCAAAGTATCAATACAGAAAGCTAAGTACATACCTGGTAGCTAGTGCCTTTCCAGATCTTTTTTACTTCCTTACGTCTCCAAGCAACAATCACAACAGTAATAAGTGTGCAAGGTACTAAGTAAAGAAGAGCCGGCTGCCCCTGCTTCATTAGTATCAGAACTATAAACGTGAGCACCATGCCCACAGCATAGGCTGCAAGAGGAAGAATGCTACATTTTAGTCTTTTACATTCACAGGCACTTGTGCTGGTATTTTAAAAATTACTGAAGACTTTATATTTAAACATTTTGAAGACCCCAGCAAACTAGCTTCTATTTACAGTTTTAAGATTGTTCTGCTCAAAGCTTTTTGAAAGCTAATCCCACAATCTGTTAAAAGTTAATAAACTGATTAGAGTGTGTGCATATTATTAGTTTAATTATTCATCAGTGATAAAAATAGTAACAGTAATGCTGCAGTTATCTGGTATCACCAGAGAAGGAATTGTTCCATAGTCCAAACAATTAAAATGTAATTATTCCACTGAGTGACAATACTTTGTTTCAACCACTTTGGATAGTTAAAAAAGTACTACAGACTTTGCAGACTCCTTAAACAGGAGAAAAATATACTGAGAAGTAGTTAAGCTTTTTTGGATGATCCAAAGTAACCATTTTGAACACACAATCATAGAATGTTAGAGCTGGAACAAACCTTGGACATCGCTATAGGCCAATCCCATAATTTTACAGAGAAAGAAACTGAGGCCCAGAGGAGTCAAAGGTCAAACAAGCTCCCCAGTCCAGTGCTTCTTCCATTATATCAGCATGCCTTTTAAAATGCCATATTATCTGATAACTTTAGGGCTTACTGAGATACAGAGCTGCATGACTCTAGCCTATATTTTTAAAATTCTTTGGTTTGATGTTTTCCATTTTAATTTCCTTTAAAAAAAAGCTTTTCTCATCTTTCTTACTGTTAGACTACCAACTATCTTTTCTGTAAGTGTGATTGAGTATAATAAAGCTCCTTCTTTGGCTTGTTTTGATTTGCTATGGGCTAAGTAACTAGATCAGGGAGTTTGTTATAACTGTACCTAAAGTGGACGAAAAGGCGGTGAGTAAAGGCTAGAAGTGCCATCCTGTGAATGAAGGGTGTGTACTTTATTCTTGGATGTTTGCTCAGAAGTCTTCATGGGTATTTCCTGGTTGCTGCATGTGTACTAGACAATTGCAGTTCCAGGATAAGTGAATTCCTAATAAGCAAATTATTATACTTTATATTTAAATGAATCTTCTTTTGCTTTCAAATCTATTTTTGGGATTGGGCGGTAGACTCAGGACAACCTGTGATTTCTTTGGCAGAAGGAATTCCCAATTAGGAAATTCCCTTTTACCAAAGAAGAGCTATACTTGCTTTACCAATTAATAGCCTTAGGAAGTTGCCTAGAAGCACTAAGAAGTGAGTAAAGTGATTTTCCTGGGGTCATGCAGTCGATCTCTTTGTAAGAGGAATGGCTTAAAATCAGATCTTCCTGCCTCCAAAGCTGGCTCTCTGGTCACTATACCAGGCTAGCTTTCTGAAATCTAATTTTTTGCCTTATACTAATTAATATTTTTCAGTCTAATTTTCTCCTTTCAAAAATCTTGTGAATTAGGTAAAAGTAAAGCAGATATTGCAGTCTCCCTTTGGCAGATGAGTTGATTGAAGTACAAATAGTTAAGTGACTTGCCTATATTCACCCAGCTAGTTATGAGCACAGTAAGAACTATAATCTGTGTGCCTTGGCACCTAGATTCCCAGACACTCTTCTATTTGTACACAATTATGAATCAAAAAAGGAAATAAAATAACTTACCAATTACACAGGAAACATAGTAGATAGAAGAACCAACATGGATATCGAATCTTCGACAATAAGCAACCAGGAGACCTAAAAAGCCCAACAAGATTAATTTCTTAAGGGGAAAAAAAGACCTTTAAAGATGAGTTCAATTATGTATGTGTTTCAATTTTATAGTAGCAGTAAGGAATCTTGAATGCTCTAGAATAAAAGAGGCAATACAAATTTAACAAAATTTGAAACCACTAACCCTAAGATAATCTTAAGTAAGTTCTCTCTCTACTGACCTTCTAGAACTTTGTCCTCCTCTCTTGAATTTAGAATATTTTAATTTCTATTATATTAACTGTGACTATGGCTAATCCTTTATTAGAGGAGGATCACATCTTATCCTCATAGGTGTTAGATTACATCGTAAAAAAAGCCTATTTTCATAATAGTACAAGAAAGTTTGAAGTTTTAATTCTAAAACTTAAAAGGTCAGTAAAATATCAACTCTAGTTTTATAGGTGTACAGAAATAACCAGTTTCTTTTTACTTTTTCACTAAAGAGATCATTTGTAAAATTCAGTCTATGAAGAATTCTCAGAACTGACTATTAATAAATATTTATAAACACAAATGCACAGCTAGCTAATGTACACATCACATACATCAGTGGTAGGCTTGAAATATAATTGCTATTTTATTTAATCAAAATAATTTCCTTCTGTTGCCTGAATTCATAGAAGAAAAGGTTCATTTTTATTATTATTTAATTTAATTGGTTTTGGTCCCTGTTTAGTAAAAAAAGGAAGGCTTACTATAGTTTGTTGTTTTCTATTCTTTCAATTGTTGGATCACATTTATACACATTCAAAGATAACAATATTTAACATTTTGAAATGGGAAATTAAATTTTAAAATCAAGCCATGAATTTCTGACAAACTAGCAATTTTTGAAATTTTAAGTTGTTTTAAAGTCCTACCATAGAAATGATTCTCTACTTTTTCTGTTCTGTAAAAAGGGAATTACCAAGTGACCATTCCAGGCGTTATGCTAAACAGGACTACACTTTCTCAGCTTCCATAAAGGAATACCCCCATCTTCTCTCTTCTACTGGCCATGCCGAGAGAAGTACTAACTAGGACTCTTCTTTTTTAGCTGACAGGCATTACAATAGAGCTAGTACCTTCTAATGGCCTAGCTTCTCTCATAGGCATCTGATGCATAAACTGCCCATGATCAAACATGAGCTATACCTCTCAGGAGATGTGATTGGTTGCTGTAATACTGTGTATCCCTTACATGTCTGAGAGCACTGTTGTTCAAAAGTCAGGTAGAGCAGAAAAAGAGAGGATAATTAGTTAATATCTTAAGTGAAGTCTACTTCAATGGTCCAATCACACAACCATCTCTTCAAGCATGCCTCTTATTATCCTGCCCTGGTTCTTCCAATTCTACTAGATTCTTCTAAACCATCTTACATTTTACAATAGAAATTTATAAATATAATTTGTTTTATAAACAACTTTGGGAACAGTATCTTCTCTATAAACCTGTAGTTACAATGTAACTTACTAAAATTCAAGGGAAATCTGAAAAAACAAGTTAAACACCCACATTAAAAGCAAATAAAAAAAAATTATTGCAGACAACTGCTCACCTGGAACAATAATGTCTCCAAAACCCAGTATTGAAACAGGTGCTAGACACACACTCATTGCAGAGAAATATATCAATCTTGGTACTTTGATAACAACTGGCAACTGCAGGAGGAAACAATGACATTAAGCCTCATCTGAATCTTTAATTATCACATTTAAAAAGCAATGTACTGACATTAGAACTACTGGTTTACCCATTTTAATTGACATTTAAAAAGAATTTGAAGTCAGAGGACACACATTGAACACACACACACACACACACACACACTCATGATTAACAAAGCTTGAAAGAAGCAGATTATGTAGCTTTAGAAAAATGAAACCCAACACACACATAGGATTAATCCTATTAATCCAATAGCCCCACTGTCTAACTTCAATGACCAACAATATGACTCAGGTCTTGAAACAAGTTAGACTTTATTTTGGCCATCTGTTTTTTTCCCCCAAAGAAGAATCTTGTCTCAGTGGGTGTGATTTTAGAGTCCAGTGAACATATCTGAAATACAATCCTTACTTTCTCATGGGGAGCTGAGGGCTGAGCAGTGGCTTCCACCAAGTTTCCACCATTCTAGGATGAAACCCAAGTCAATAGGTATTTAATAATTTTAAATGACTAAAAAGTGGCTATATTTTGTAAGAAAAAAATTATACCTTAATATGCACTACATGCTCATCGAATTAAATGAAAAGACAAAATTATTAATTGCAGACACTATGGAAATGCAGCAAAATTGATTGTGCACACACACTCACTATAAATATGTACATTTGTGTAACACATTCCTACCTTTTCATTGCTTCCAAAAGGTCCAGCTGCAACTTCGATCATGATACTTTCCCCATTCTATTCAATGGAAAAGAACAAAGTTGTGTTCCCTAAATGATTTAACAATTTGCCACTGTTCAAGAACTCTTTGAGCACTTAGCACATTGTTCAGGACAAAGTATCTATCTGGTTAATATATGCTGAATGAATAATTAGTAAAAAATGTGTCAAAATAAGCTGCAAATGCTTTTTCTCAATTCAATATTCATGGAGAACCAAAAAGAATGTAGTCATCTAATACACACAAAAAAATACCTAGCACACTTGCTCTTCCTACAATGGTATTGATAAAACATCAGCAACTGACAGATAATAAAATGCACACAATTTAACAAAGTAAACCAAAGTACTGTTCTGCCATAACATATCATTCTGATATTCACAGTCAACTCTTCATTATTTGCATGAATAATAATGAACAATGATAATTATGAATCTTTCATATTCAGCTAACAGACTTCAAATTTATACTTTGATTTGGGTCTATGTGGATATGGTTTTCTCAAAAGTCACAACACCTATTGTATAATAATGAAATTATATTGCATAACAATTAAATGACTTTCTAAACATTTAATACTGCACATTACACATTAATAATTGCTGAATGAAACAGCATCCCAAAAGGAACTGGAAAGCTCTATAAGCCTCCTGACCTTGAAAGTTGCTCATCTTCAGTTCTGTTCCCTTTCCACACTCCAAGCTGGAATTAGCATTCTCTCCCTCCTTTTTTGCTCAAAGCAAAAGGGAGTACAAGATGGAAGGGGCGGAGGAGCAAACTTTTGTATAAACAGTTCCTGGAGATGGAACTCAGCATGGAGTTGGCAAATACTCCTGTCACTGAGCTCAGGATGCTATGGGATACAGGTCTCAAAGTTCTATCATCTCAAAGCAAAATAGGTTATGAAGGTAAATACTTATTAAAACCAAAACTGATGTTATTAAAGGAAACGTTATGACAGACTAAGGGTTCCCCCTTAACTTTGATTCCTGGGTGGGAAAGGTAATGAATTGTTTTTTTAAAGGCTCTTTTTGCTCCTGAGCAAGGTGGCAGGAGCAATGAAATTACCAGCTGTAGTGACCATTGCTTTGTCCTTCCACAGTAAGAATACAGTTTAGTTTACTTCTTTAAGAAAGCTAAGGACTTTTTTCCTCTCTTAAAAAAATACTATTTGTCATATGGGATAGCTCTCTGGGAGGGTAAGGAAGAGTAACACATGGGATACTATGATAACACAAAATAAAATATCAATAAAAACAAAACCAAAACCAAACTAAGAATATTCAAAACTCCTCCATCCATCAAACTTCTCTTCTCTATCCATCAAAAGCTCTTTGCATTGTCACCCATTCTCTCCTCCTTCCCTCATTTTGAATCTTGGTTCTGCTAGTTATTACTTATGTAACAACTTAGACAAGTTACTGGGTAAGTTAATTTACATTTCTGGGTCTGTTTCTACATATGTAAAAATGTAGGAATTAGACTACATGACTTCTAAAGTCCAGATCCAAAAACCAATGATTTCCAACTCATACAAGACTTCTCATTCTGGAAGTCTCACTAGTACCTCAAAAATGAGTGTTAAAATTGAGTTTATTTTCTTTTTGAAATCTGCTCCTAGTTATTACTTCACTATTTCTGTCGGGGGCACCATGATTTACTGAGTCTCCTACATCTGAAAATTGGTATAATTGATTCTTCTACATTCTTTACTTCTCATATCTAACCAGTTAGCACTTGATGTCTATTCTACCTACATATCACCTCTGGAATCTGTCCCCTTCCTCTCTATTCCTCCTGCTACCATCCTAGTATAAGGATAGTAGTATATACTACTTGCCTAGACTAGAGCCTCCAACCAGGTCTTCTGGCCTTCATTCTTACCTTACTTCAATCCAGCCCTCTTACCCAATCCTGTTATAATGACTACCAGACTAATCTATCATATACACAGTTATGCTTAAATAACTCCACTGCTAAATGTTTTTGAGTAGATCCTACTACTTTGGTCTCTACATTATGTCTCTCCCATATGATTGTAATAGCCTCTTATTTGGTCTCCCTATCTCAGCACTCTCCCCACTCCAATTCATCTTCATTCAGCTGCCAAAGTGATTTTTCTAAAGCACAGGTCTGACCATGTTACTCACCTGTTCTCTTCAAAAAACTCCAGTGGTTTTTCTATTACCTCCACAATTAAATATAAAATTCTACACATGGCATTTAAAGTCCTCTACAACTTGGCTTCTTCTTATCCTTCCAGTCTGATATCTTACTCCCCTCCACACACTCTATAATCTAGCTACAGTGGTCTATTTGCACGTGCATATGATATTCCATCTCTCAACTGTCTGCCTTTGCAATGGTTCTCCCTTATGCTTGGAATGCTCTTCACATTACTTTTTAGTTTTCCTGGCTTCTATTAAGACACAGCTCAAATCTCATCTTCTGCAGAAAACCTTTTCTAGTCTTGCCTTTGAGATTACCTTCCATATTAATTCCTTATATATCTTACATGCACCTAGTTATTTACATGTTTCACATTCATTAGAAAGTGAGTTCCTTGATAGTAAAAATTGTTTTTGCCTTTCTTTATATCCCTGTAACTTAGCACAGTGCCTGGCACATAATAAGTATCTAATAAAAGCTTACTGATGAACTATTAAGTCATTAAATTAAAGGAGAAGGTGACAAAATAAATAGATGCTAAGATTACTTCTTAAATCATATTGCTACATCATGATTGAATTTCCATTTAATGGAGAGTTGACTGTGATTCAATTTGCTAATGAATTCTTGAAATCCCAAACTTAAATTCATTAACACTTTCACATGCTCTAAATACATGCAATCTTATATTCCTACTTCTATACCTACTTGCCTACCTGCTATTAACCTATTAGGCTCATGGACATGATGTAGCACTTCCAAGGTTCAAACCTTCTAAGTATAACAGCAAAAATGGAAAAGTTAAGAACGAAATTATCTGAGATTAAATGGATGGTTATGTAATGAGGTGATTTCAACAGCCTAAGAGTGTAAATTTAATCCCAATATAGAAAACTTTAATAGCATTCACTTTTTTTGTTGTTGCCTTGCAATTTTATTGTAATGAATACGTCACTAGTAAACATTTCCAGTCTCCTGGGGCTAAGAATGAAACAAGAAAGCAAACAATTCTTTACACATAGTAGAAGGAAGATGGAATAGTCATATATATGTCTTTTCTCCTCAGGGTTTCTAAACCTACAAGTCCCTAAGGAAAGGACCTTAGAGGTTATAGATCTTTAATCATTCTCTGTGTGCTTCTATTCTGATTGGTTACGTGGTGGGGGGCATTTCTCACAGAAATGGTTGATACGACTGAGATAAAGAGACGTGATGGCACCTGAGGATAATTGTTTATTGGTGTAAAGTTGAACACTCTCTCACTGTAAAGAGCTCAGCTCTCCCTTGCATATTTTGCTACATCTATATATCCATCTCTCTCTCTCTTTCTCTCTCTCACACATTAGCAAGTGATAAAACATAAGATACTCCCTTATAGAGTAAACATCATCTGGACAGAGACTAGTAAAAGTATTGGTTTACTGTATTGTGTTGTGAAGATTCAATAAAGCACTGTTACTATAGGCCAGATATTAAAATAGCTTTGCTATTTGGAATCTGCCACAATAATGGTATTTGCTATAATGGATTTGCTGCTTCTTATAAATGCATGCAAAGTGTTGTAAGCCCTTAGCCTGAAAAGATTTGGTGGGGCTTATATTATGGTCTAGAAGATAAGAATTTTAATAAAAACTTACATTACAATAGCACCAAGCACTAAGCACATAAGCACTAATATGTTTACGTAGGTCAAGCGATCCTCAGCTACTGAGATTCTAGGCAAGTTACTTCATTTTTAGTCATGTTTGCACTGACTATTTCATAGGGCTGTTTAAAGATCAAATGAAATAATGTATGTTTTTCATGAACATATAATGCTATATAAGTATGTTATTTTTTTCCATTCATATATGTAGCCTCATCAATGTGGCATTTATAAAAGTGAAAAATGCTAGTAAAATATTGTAGGCTGGTGATAAGTTCCAAATATAATTTTTCAATTCAAAATCATTTGGAAGAGAGCTATAATTCATTATCACTAGGGCATATCCCTGAGATTATAATCTATATTATATGTAATAAAGGCTTTCATTATAAATTAAGAGATCACTGGGAAAGAAAGAAGGAAATAAATGGTGGGATGAGGTGGGTTTAGAAAATCAGACTTGGTATGGATAGGCAAAAAAAAAATGAGTTAGGAAAGGAAAAACATGATTTAGAAATTCAAGAGAAAGAAACACAAATCAAGAAAGGATGAGTGAGGAGTAGACAAAGTAGGAGTGATCAAGTAATGATAATAAAGCACCTTTTTAAGTTGCTGGATGAAGGAATAAAGGGGGGGAAAAGTCAGCACCATACCTATGAGTATCTCAAACTAGAGACAATTTTTTAGTTAAGAATACACAAAAAGTACAATTATGCCCTCCATTAAACTGTTTTAATTTCAATAGTAAGAATTCTCAAAATATTTCAAAATGGGGGGAGGGGATTCATAAGGGTATTTCAATTTCATGGCAAAATTCCCAAGCATGAACAATCTAATGGACTGAATAAGTGTCTTATTTCTCAGAATGTTATGTATAAATTTCAGAAATATTAACATACCTTTGTGATGAATGGTGTTATGAAAACAAAAAATACATCATAGATGAGAAGGAGGACTAGAAGTATTACACACGCCTGTCAGAGAAAAAAAAAATTAGAGACTAAGCTTCCCACATCCTAAGAAAGAACTGATAGTATTTTGAGACAATCACACGTCTGTACACTCATTAAAAACAAACAGGGGGCTATCTCCAGTCGTCCTGATCTATATCTCACCAATGGACCCAGATGGCTCTGGAGGAGAAAGTGAGGCTGGTGACCCTGTGCAGCCCTTCCTCTCTCAATCAAAGTCAATTGCAAGTCATGTCATTAACTCCCTGACATCATGGTCCTCTTTGAGAATGAAGGACAAACACAACCTGTGAGTAGTCCAAGCTGCCTGAATGGGGACCCAGCTGGCCTGTTCCAGGTGGGGCAACTCAGCTCATCCTCCCCTTTCCTCTCCCTTCCCCCATCCCTTTACCTGAAAGTGTTCTGCCCAAAGGAAGGTAATTTGATGGCCTAAAGCTGCCTACTTAACTAGGGGTTTACTAGCTAGATTTTTCTCTAAAACACCAAGCCTTAAACACAATTCACTCTGGAGCTTATAGAGTGGACAACAATAGGTCCCTGCCCAAGCACCACTTAATGGTTATTTTTTGACACTCCTTGCTCAGAGTGAATGAAACAGAAACTGTTTCTCTCTTGGTGAGCAACCTTGAGGGTCTTCCCCTCCCAGCTTGATTCTTTTTTTTTGATTGATTTGATTAAAGGGGCCATCTCTAGGCTCACTCCTTAAAGAGGACTATTCACTGAATAGGTGATGCCTCACTCAAAGTGAGAACTTGAAAAGACTTTAGCTTAAAAAGGCCAAGGTCTCCCACTGCGTGGAGGCCATCTCCTGATGGCGTCCTGATCTATATCTGGCCACTGGACCCACATGGCTCTGGAAGAGAAAGTGAGGCTGGTGACCTTGCACAGCCCTCCCTCACTCAAATGAGTCAATTGCAAGTCATGTCATCATCTCCCTGATGTCATGGTCCTCTTCAAGAACAAAGGAGAAACCACACAACAACAAAAAACAAACAGACCAACCCTCACACAACTGCTATTTCTAATTTTGTTCTATAAAGCAAAAAGGATTTTGTTTTTCTTTTTACCATTTTCATTTCTTTGAATATCACTGATCCAAAGCAAAGTCCTTTGTTAAATTTCTCCATTTTCTACAAGGCTATTAGGTATGTTATCATTCAAACAGGCAGTACAGTGTGGTAGGAAGAGTAGTAGACTGGGGGTCAAAAGACCTAGATTCAAGGCTCAGCTTCCTGAACTTACTAAGCTGGGTGACCTTGGTGAGGGTGTGGGCCTCAATGTCCACAAATGTGAAGTGGGGAAGATCTAAGTACTTTATATTACCTACTTCACACGGTTGCTGTAAGGGTCAAGTAAGATCATACACAGAAAGTACTTTGTAACTGTAACACACTTTAAAAATATGATTTGATCTTATTTTATTATTGCACATAATTAGTGTACTTTGGACAGGGCAACAATATACTCTACCTTGAAGTTGGGTAATTTCAATGTTTTAATTAGATTCAGACAGAAAGCCATTCCCAAAAGATCTTGTAAAATCCAGGCCCATCTGAAATCAGACATTAATTTTCTTATTCACAGTTATTTTAAAATGGATCCTCACAAAATAAAGAGGTCACAGAGAATAATATGTCTAACAAAATCAATACAATTAACATTAAGCACCTACTACTGTAGATAAAATAGTTGGGAGAAAAAGAAGAATGAAAAACTAGACTGGCCCTCAGGAAATTTGTAATTTAAGAGGATAAATAAGGCACACAAATCATTATAATATAAGGAGAAATTGCAGAAGAAGGCTCTCTTTCAAGGAGAAGGGAAGCCAGATATGGGAAAGGCTTTATGAAGAACAGCATACTTGAGAGTTAGATCCTGAGAGAATGGATGGAGCTCAGCATTCAGGAGATGGGTGAGGAAGGTATAGTCGAGGCATATGAATAAAGTCACAGAGATGGGAGAAGGAAAGAAGAAAACAGAGGATGGTGTGGATTCTAATTTGACTGGGATGTAGAAATTGTGAAGGGAAGTAATGTAAGATAAGGCTGAAACAGGAGGTTGGAGCCTAATTGTAGAAAGAGTTGTATGCTACTATAAAGGACTTTAATGGGGAGTTAGTGAAGGTTTTGGGGTTGAGAAGAAATATGATTTCAAAATTATTCTGGCAGCCATATGAAGATTACATTGGAAACGAGCGAGTAGTGGCAGGAAGACTATTCAAGACTATTCAACACAATTATGCCAAGCAAAGATGGTCATGAATTCTTGAACTAGAGTGATTACAAGTTAGATTTGAAAGGAACAAGTATGAGATTTTGGAGGTTGAATCAAAAGGACTTTACAATTGATTGTATATGGATAATAAATGACTAGAGCAGGTCAAGGATGACTCAAAGGTTTCTCAAAGTTGACTGGGAGGATGGTTGTACTGTCAACATAAATAGAGAATTTAAAGGAACTGGTAGGCTTTCTGTGGAAATGATTTCAATGTAACCATGTTAAACTTAAGGCACCAGCAAGGCCATAGATAAAGAGGTATCTAGCAGGCAACTGGAAATGAACTCAGAAGAGTTAGAATATTGGAAAGTCATCTTCATGGAGCTGTTAAATGAAGGCATGGGAATGTATGAAACTGCCAATAAAGAAAAGGGAAAACGGCCCAGAACTTAAATCCCTGTGATGTGACTACTGATGTAGCATGGTGTATTGGTATTGGACTTAGAATCTGGAAGACATGGGTTCAAATTCTGCTTCAGACATTAGCTGTATGACCCTGGGCAAGTCACATAAACACTCTGGGCTTCAGTTATCTTATGAAAGCAGTGGGTTGGATATGATCTCCAAGGTCCCTTCTAGCTCTAAATTTATTATTTTATGATTGTTTACTGTTACTTTTGTTAAAAAAAATAAGAAAACAATATTTCCTACATGTACTACAACAATGATATGCTAGAATACTGGTCACTATGATGAGAAAAAGATGCAATAATGCTAACTTTGTTTTTAAAATGTTGAAGAATAACTTTCCTAAACAATAAGCTAACATGAGCATTTTATTCTAAAATTATTTTTAAAAATTTCTATCAACCTTTAACAATATGTTAATAATACATTAAATGATCTTTATCTTCTTTACTTTTAAGCCTGCATTTAAACATGAAATAACAGTTTCCAATGTTTTTGTATATTTGAATCCAAATCAATCAATTTCAGAACTGTTTACCTGACATGGTTTTTCCTGAAAATTCATTCTTTAAAGACCATGATATTCTAGGATAAAAGCCATAAATTCCTCAGCCAAGTAGATGATTAACTGGGTGAAATGTGTAACAATCTGCCTCTAATATAAAACAGTAAAAATTGATCTCCTACCTGTCATCATTTCGAAATACAGCCCAAACAACAGCCAAGGATATGCAAAATGCTGCAATAAAGAGGAGTCTCACTTCAAAGCTTTTGCTGCCACATACAATCCTAAAACAAACAAACAAATGAAAACAAATGGAGAGAATTTAGTTTGCCACGTAGTTGAAAACAGATTGGGGGTAGGGGGAGGAGGATTAGTTAGGGTCATAATAGAGCCAAAAGAAATATAAAAACAGCCATTCAGTACTAACGCTGCTGCAATAACCACTAGTTTCCCTTTTAAATAAAGTGACTAGTAATGAAATGTTTAAATGTATGATATTTTGATATTTCTTCTTTTTTTTGCATATAGCTTAAATAACTAATAGCAACATTCTACAGCTGCTCAGAAAAAAATTCATACCTGCATCGTCCACATGGTATTTTCCCAATCAGTGGTGCGAGGCAATTGTATAAACTCATTGAAGATGCCAAGCAGAAAATTGATATCATAACATAGACTAGAAAAAAGGAGAAATATTTAATGAAAACAGAGGAAAATGTCAGTAAAATGCTGTTATGTGGCATAAAATTTCTGTACAAACACTGTATTTCAATTGATTTGTTTTTAAAAGCTATTTTAAATAGATGCTCAAAGAACATTCAATTAGACTGACTAGACTGCAACGTGGTGTTGTCTTCCACTGTATGTTTATTTAGGGTTTGTAAAAGGAATGGAAAAGTTACCTGCATGTCAGTAGTTGTTTGAAAACAACTCATTCTAAAATTTAAGCTAACAATCACGTGAGATCTAATAAAGCAAGTCTAACAATATTTATTTCAAGAACAGGAAAGAATGAATTCCTTTATATTGCTGGCTTGAGATACATAATAATGTGTATCTAATAATCTGAAAATATCATATAAATTACTTCTGTAGGTTTATGTATATAGGTTATAGGATATAACTTGATCCATTCTATGGTCATATCCATGTAATAAAGAACCTTTTTGACCCACATGTACAAAAATATTTATAGCAGTTCTTTTTTTGTGGTGGCAAAAAACTAGAAATTGAGGGGATGCCCATCAATTGGGGAATGGCTGAACAAGTTGTGGTATATGAATGTAATGGCATACTATTGTGCATAAGAAATAAGACTTCAGAAAAACCCGGACTTATATAAACTGATGCTGAATGAAATAAGCAGAACCAGAACATTGTACACAGTAACAGAAACACTGTGTGATGATCAACTGTGACAGACTTAGCTCTTCTCAGCAATACAATGATCCAAGACAATTTCAAAAGACTCATGATGGAAAATGCTATCCACATTCATAAAAAGAACTATGGAGTCTGAATGCTGATTGAAGCAAACTATTTTCACTTTTTTTTGGTTTTGTTTTTTTTCTTTCTCATGGTTTTTCCCTTTTGTTCTGATTCTTCTTTCACAATGTCTAATGTGGAAATATGATTGTACATGTATAACCTATATTATTGCTTGCTGTCTTGGGAGGAGTAAGGGGAGGAAGAGAGGAAGAAAAATTTGGAACTTAAAATCTTATAAAAGTGAGCATTAAAAACTATCTTTACATGTAACTGGAAAAAAATACTATTAAGTGGGGGGGGAAAGAACCTTTTCCTAAGAGTTCTAATATAGTTATCAATGTTTAATACTCATGTATTTTTATTTAAAATTATTAATAAAAGTTTTACTATTAAAATTACTAAGCTTAAAAGATTAAATTTTCTTTTTTCATCTCTCAATAATTCAAAATAACTAATTTTACTGCATAGACATTTTGACATTTCAGTGAAACCGTGAGGCCACTTTGTTGTTCAAGAGAGGATGATAAGCAAAAAGTCTAGAGCCAATGAAGTGTATAAAGAGTGGTGGCTACCCCTGGAGGGTGATTAAACAGCAAATATTAAGTGCTTACAGTGTGTAATACATTATACTAGGCACTGAGAATAAATCTAAGATGTGGATGAGATGTATACAAATAACTAATAACGGGCACATGAGAGGTTAAATTTATGAGAAATTTGAGGAAGGAGGGGTAACTTTTAGCTCAAGGTGGGTGGAGGGATCAAAGGCTTGACTGAGGAAATGGTACCTAGCCTGAGACTTTAAAGAGAAGAACTTAAACAGTTAGAGATGTAGAGAGACTATTTTCCAGGGCAGCGTGTATATCTGAGGCAGAGGAGTGGACTGGGAAAGGGAGAGGTAGGAAGAATGATATGTACAAATGAACACAGATGGAAAAAATGAAATCAAGAAACAGCCAGTAGGGGGCAGCTAGGTGGTACAGTGGATAGAGTTCCAACCTTGGAGTCAGGAAGACCTGAGTTCAAATCCAACCAAAGATACTTGACACTTACTAGCTGTCTGACCATGGGCAAGTCACTTAACTCTGATTGCCTCACCAAAAAGTTTAAAAAAAAAAAAAGAAAAGAAACAGCCAGTAGACTAGTTTGTCTTGGATCCAGAATATCTGAATAGGAGTAATGTTAAATAAGGAGAAAGGTAGACTGAAATCACATTATAGAGGGCTATGAATGCCAGGCTAAGGAGTTTGTATTTTATCTTAAAAGGCAATGGTGAGCCACTGGAAATGGAGAGTAAGGCAATCAGGTCTATTACAGTTACTTTGGCAGCTATGTAAAGAATGGCTTAGGAAGAGAAAAAAAGAGGCAGAGAGACAAGTATGATAATTTATGTGAGAGATGAGGGCTAGAACTGTAGCAGTAGCCCAGGGAAAAAAAGGCATGGATCAACATAGTGAATACATTAAAAATGCTACTAAAAAAAGCTAAAGTACAATTGTCATAGGTTGAGAGATTTTTTTTTTTTTAGAAATACTTTCCAAAGGACAGATGAAATTAACCACCTGAATCAAGTTGTGACGTCTCAGATTCTTCACTTCCTCTTTATGCCAACATTTTTTTGAACAGTGGCTTGGCAAAAGGTTTTTGGGTGATCTTCATGAATGTTCCTCTTTCCCCATTTCCCTCTTCTTGCTATTGTATACTCTGGCCATTGTCAGACTACTACAAAAGCAAGACTGGAGAGTTTCCAAGAGGCCACGCTGGAAAGTGAATCATTCTAGCATTCATTTAAGCCCTGAGTACAAAAAAGTTCAAGCTACCCCATAGGCCACCAGGCATATTCCCGATCATATGATCTGATCCTGACCTCTAGGATAGAGGATCTAGATTAATGATAAAAGGTTAATAAACAGGGAAAGTTATTTTTAAAATAAATTTTATATATTACCAACATTACCATTTTAACTCCAAAATATAAGGACTGCACTTTTGGGGTAGGCATTATATTTGTGATAATTCATGTATCAAAAAAAACCCTTAGATTACTGTTTTAGACACTATACAATTATGTTTTGTCTGCAGAGAAGAAAAACTAGTTATACCACAGCAAGTACTTCTACCTTGCCAATAATGAATTCTCTTAGACTATATGGTATCATCTAAACTAACAAGGGTGGAAGAATTTAAAATTTTGGTTGAGGATTAAAAAGCAAATTAGATAAATGAGTTATCCAAGTTTTCATAATAAAAATACCTTAATATAAAGAAAAGAAGGAAGTTCATGGAAGTGTTAGGGAAATACATACCAAAAGTAAAAAAATATATATAATAAAGCTAATTTCTTACCTAGCCACTTGTAGAAGAAATAAAGTAAGATCATTATAACACAACAGCCAACCACAAATATTATAACTGTAAGTGGAGTAAAAGTTAAAGAGTCTTCCTTCTTTTTTGTTTCTCTTTCTTCAGTGTTTGTCACTGCCTTCATGTCCTCCCTGCACAAATACACACAAAAGCCTCAGTCAACCTCATTTGTCAAACACTTATACAAATATGTGAAGGATCTATGACCTCCTCAGCACAGGGAATTCCTAGTATAAGAATACTTTCTCCAACAGAGGTCACATCCAGCTGAGCAGATGGGTAGACTCTGGAACATAATATCATCTCCTTTATAATTTTGCCCAGAACAATCCCTGGATACATCAGTTAGAGTGGGGGTGGAGTATGAAGGGATAAGGGATCAAAGAGGAACAGGACTGTAGAAAGCCCTGGCAACAAACTTGATGGAAAAAGTCAATCTATCAACACATGAGTTTATATGGAATAAAAATAAAAACTGATTAAAGGTTCAGATAAATTCTTAAATAGCCATTTTACCATTAGTTATAAAGAGGAATTTAGGGATAACATTCCAAGGACATCATAAAAGAAAATTAACCCACTCTCTCCAAACACATCCCCAATGTCACTGTTTGAAATACAATATTGGATGAACCACTGTTCTGACTCAATGTCATTTTTTAAAACATCATTTAGGACAAACTTTTGTATCTGAAAAAGTTGACAATATTTATGACACAAAACTTAAATTAGGTCGATCACATCTCCTTCTTGCTGCATAAGGTTGTTAGGTTTAAAATACGTTTTAGCTTGAAATACATTAAAATCTAATTATTATGAATCAGTGCAATAACATAAAAACTATTGCCTTTCCTGTAGAACACTACCTTTCCCCCCATTAGTGTCCACCTTTCAGAGTTATTTCAATAACAATATATAAATTTTCCTTTCTTTAGTATCCTCTTAAGATTCTAAATTTCCTAATAAAGGGCAAGAATTGTTTCTATAACATTCTTTGTAGGGCTTCTAAGTTTCTATTTCAGTTCCCGAACTAGAGGCTGAATGACTATTGCTAATCTGATTTAGTTTAAAATAAGTTTAATACTTAGTAATGATGATTACTATGCCAAAAGATTAAAAACTTAAAAAAATGATGGAGTTACAGTATGTTTTATAATGGCTATGCGTTAAAACTTCAATTACAGATGTGTCATGTCAGTGTCTGCAATCAGCAAAGTCCGACAGATTTAACCATCCTTTCTACCATTCTTGATCCATAATTATAAGTAAGGCTGTGGGAAAACAAAGCCCACCTTCTCATTAAAATTAGATTTTTCAAAATATGAGCTCTGCTAAAGCTATGACTTATTTGTGGGTACGACCCAGCTAATTAGCCAGTTAACTTCATATTTTAAGACTCAAAATTAAATAGTCTTCATTTTTTGCTCGTCTTTCTTTATTGCCTTCATGTCCTTTCCAGCACAAAAAGACATACTTCATTTTATTGCGCTTCACTTTATTGTTTTGCAGATAGCATTTTTTTTTATTTGTGAGAACCCTGTGTCAAACAAGTCTATCAGTGCCATTTTTCCAACACCGTGCTCACATCATGTCTTTGTGTCACATTTTGGTAATTCTCCCAATATTTCAAACTTTTAAATTATTATTATATCTGTTATGGTGATCTGTGATCAATGATTTTTGATGTTACTATTGTAATTGTTTTGGGATGCCACAAACTATGCCCATATGAGATGGTGAACTTAATAAATGTTGTGTGAGTCTTCTGACTGCTCTCTTCTGGCCTCCCTATTCCCTGAGATACAACAATATTGAAGAATATTACACAGACTTAGTTGATAAAGCAGTGGCAGGGTTTGAGAGGGTTGACTCCAATTTTGAAAGAAGTTTACTAAAATGCTATCAAACAGCATCACATGCTACAGAGAAATCTTTTGTGAAAGGAAAAATCAATCGAAAAGGCAAACTTCATTGTTACCTTAAAGAAACTGTCACAGCCACCCTAACCTTTAGCCACCACCAACCACCCTGATCAGTCAGCAGCTATCAACATCGAGGTAAGACCTCCACCAGAAAAAAGATTACTACTTGCTGAAGGTTCAGATGATGGTTACCATTCTTTTTTTTTTTTAACCAATAAAGTGTTTTTTAATTAAGGTATGTACATTGTCTTTTTTTAAAGACATAAACTATTGTACACTTAATAGTATATAGCTACTATAGCACAGTATACACATAACTTTTATCATGTACTGAGAAACCAAAAAATTTGTGCGATGTGACTTGTTTTATTGTGAAATTTGCTTTATTGTAGTGGTCTGGAACCAAACCCATAATATCTCTGCAGTATGCCTGTATACAAGAACCTCATTCAATTTTTTTTTTTTTGGGCTAAACATTCACACAAATACTTGAAGGATCTATGATGATTCTTGATATAGGGACTCCCTTGCCCTTACCTAATAATAAGAAAACACAGAACTGCAGGTATAGAAATTAGATGTAGTTGAAAAAAGTCTGGACTTCAAAAGACAATTCTGAAAGCAATATATACCATTTCTCCTACTTTCTTAATAAATGAAATGTATTTTGAAACTTAGTAAAATAAACTGGAGCTGCAGTGTGACTCTGAACTTGGGAGTCTGAAAGACTGGTTCAAATCCCACCTCTGACATTTAATAGCCTGTGACCATGGGCAAATCACTTAACATCTCTGAGCCTATAGTAACTCCTCTAAGAATATAAGTTAGAGATGAGTGGTAATCTGTGTCCTGTATAAAACATTCCAACACAGAAAAAAAATTAAAATTCTTTAATGTATTGATATAAATTAATTTATAATCAAATTTTTTTGCAAAACATTAATCTCATATAGGTAGATATTTATAAGTCTAAACTTCTGTCACTAACCATATCAACAAAAAGAATTTTTAAAAGCATGTCAGAATAGAATATGTTACAGTTGATCAATTGGAACATCACCAACCAGAATCTTCAAATGAGGTTTGTGTGTTTATTTTGGGGGATGGAGGAAAGGAATTAGATTTCATAGCAAACTGCTGAAACACAGCAACACATATTCATACAACACCACCAACCTACAACTACTTTTGGGAACATCCTGGAATTAGTATGCGTTCAGTTCAGGCTCCTCTACTGGCCCTAAGCATAGTGTGTGTTGATGTCCAGAATCAAGACTGTCATGCAACACACTATCCTGAATGATTAAAAAGAATTAGTGACATCTAGTTTCTCCCTCACTATCATGGAGAAAGCCTAGACTAATTGTTACCTTTGTCTGATACCGATTTTATAATGACTTTTACTATCCGTTCAAATATGGCTCCTGCTGTATAAGGTCTCAGCACTTCACTAGGTGAGAAAGCAAACTTCAGATTTGCTCATGATCTCTTTCAAGCTATTTTGGGAACTGTACAAAAGAGCTGTCACAAGAAGTGAACTTAGGAAAAAAAAAACACATTTTATTCATCTTTTAGTTCTTCCAAAGTTGAAAATATCAAGTCCTACTTCTAAGGAGAAAAAAACAAAACAAAAAGTCTCTCTCTCTCTCCTCCCCTCCCCCCCCCCCCTCCCCTAAAGTTACAGGACACAGAAAGATTTTTTCTGGGATGGGTGAGTGCAGAGGACTAGGAGGGAAGATGGCCAGCAAAAATCCCTCACAAATACTTAAAAGCAAAAAACAAAAACCTGTTCAACAGTAAGGGTGATAAATACAGGACAATGCAAGACAACTGAAAATGAAGAACAGCAGGAAAAAAAAATCACTAAATTATGCTTATGATACTAAGGGAAGACAACATACAAACACATTTAAAAAATATTTTTTACATAAATCAACTGTCTGAATTGCTAGAAGGGATACAAGTTGAAAGAATAAAAATGCTTTTAAAGTCTCACCCTAAAAAGCAAGCAGTAGTCTTGGTCCACTAATGGGAAAAAGTGAGAGAAGCTCAGTCTAAGAGGGTGAACCTCAAGAAGGGAAGAGAAACACCTAAGGGCAACTATCACTTCTGTAGGAAAAACTTCAAGAAAACAGTCTCATTAAGCAAGAAGTTTGGAAATGAAAGGGTCTATATACTTTCAGTCATCTTTAGAGAGGGTCCACTTGGCACTACTCTGCAATGCATTCTTTAAAAAGTAGCTAAAAATAAAGGAAGATTAAGGGTACTTTTGTTCTGTTTCAAAGAGACCTGTAATTTCATCAGTGTGCAGAGTCCCTGGTGAGGAAACTCCTTCTGCCAGTGGAGATCAGCAACAGTTCTGTGAATTACAGCCTTAGAGAATTGCCTAGAGCACCAAGAAGTTAAGTGACATGCTCAGGATCACATAGCTATTATGTGTTGAAGGGGGGACTTGAGCTTGGATTTTTTCTGATTCTCAGCTATTTTTACCATTACTAATGTCACATTTATACTGAACTTTCAATTTACAAATCACTTTCCTCGTGGTGACCTTTTAAGATAGGTAAATAATTATGTGAGAAATGTACGTAACTTAGCTCTTTAGGGGACAACTATTAAATATGAGCTAAGTAGGGTAAGAGGGAACTCCTAGAGCTCATATCATGTATTAAGAAATATTACAAAGAGTTTATCTTTCTCTCTCCTAATTATGGAGTTGTACCGACTGGCAGAAAATAAAAAGAGTTTTAAGATGTTTGAAAATGGTTAAGTGTTAGCTTAACCAACTCCTGGTATTATTATTCACTGCAAAGAAAAAGTTTTAGAAGTCATTTTTAAAAAACAATGAATATTTGCAAAAAATCACATTTATAGTACTGTCTAGATACAAATGCCTTCAATAAGGTTTTAGGTATTTATTTTTCAGCATTTTATTAAACTAAAGAACACTAGGCAGTTTTATGGAGAGCAAGAAAATATTTTTCTACAATGTTTGCCTCAATTCTACATTTTAAACTGCAATTTACCTTTAAGTTAAAAAAAAACCTTGTCTTAAATCAGCTTTACATATAGTCAACCTGCCCAAAGAGATCAAGCATAGTTTCTTCCATATCAACTTGGTGTTAAATGGATTATGCTTGAGATTAGTGATCTGTTTATAATGGTATTTCAACTCTCCATCCTGAAGAAGTCTCCATGTGGAACCTGGGACCTTTTGCTTTCATTTCTTAAAGTAACTAAATATCTTCCATTTGACAGAACAATCTGATTTTGAGCTGGCTCTCAACAAGTTTTTGCAACTCACTAGACCCCAGTCCTTTTTTTTCTTCCTCTCTTCATTTACTTGCTAAATCACAATGTTTATATGGTTTATATTTCTATTTTCTAGGAAAATCTTATACCTGGTCAACCAAACAATCGATAAGCATTTATTAAGCATCTACTATGTTCCAGGTACTGGGCATAAAAAGACAAAATTAAAGTTTCTTTTCATAAGGAGCTTATATATTTATTGGGAGAGACAACATGTATGCATGTAAGTATATACAAAAAAGTTTTAAAGGTAATTTTGGGGTGGATGTATTAGATCTTTGGTGGGAGGAATCAGGAAAGGGCTCGTGTAGAGAGGGCTCATGTAGGTGGCATTTGAACTGAACTTTGAAGGAAATTAGGCATTCAAAGAGCTTGCAAAAGTGAATTACACTCCAAAAATGGGGGACAGTCTATGTAAAGGCACACAATAATTACTTCAAACACTCTTTCAAAATAGTCTAGAAAAAGAAGGATGGTTGAAATCAAAGGTTTTCTCCATAAACAAAATAAGACAATTGATTATTGTGGAAGCTACAAAATCTAAAACTGGATGAATGACATTTTAAAGTCAAGATAATAAATTAAAATGCCACAGCAACATTCCCAAATGTTATGTTACATGAATATTATATGTTACATGTCATATGAATAAATATTTTGTCCTTAAATACATAAAATTTCTAATTCTTTCACATAATGTTTTTTTTAAAAGATAAGGGAAAACCACTCATATGTACATGAGCAGAGGTGATTAAAAACAGCCATCTTATCACTCTTTCCAAATCAATATTTAAGTTCATTTTTCTAGTACCTTTCTTTTACTCTCAAGATTTTCCTCTTAATCTGAGTCAATTTTTAGTACTCACAGATACTAAAAGGGCATCTTAAATGATGATAGAGAAGATGTATATTCACCTAGTTAAATGCAAATGTATCTTAAACACATGACAGAATTACAATCTATCCTTAGACACTGACTAGTTGTATGACCATGGGCACATCAGCCTAAGCTTCCTAATTCATAAAACAGAGATAATAACTGTAGTATGTATACCTCACAGGGTTGTTATGACGCTCAAATAAGATGATGTATGTAAAGTTCTCTACAAAACTTAAAAGGGTCATATCACACTCTTCTTGTTGTGTTGTTTTTGACAGAGACCAGATAGAAAAGGTCTGGGTACAAGTCATCCTGTTATTCTTTTATATTTCATGTTCTATGGATTACTGCACAGGTGGATAAAATAACTTTTTTTGGGGGGGGGGTGTAATTGAATAAAAATAATGGGTTGCAAGGTCACCTTCTGTAGGGTCACTGAAAACATCTTTGAGACAACTCCAGAAGCAGACAGGGTGATGGAGGTGATATGTACTTCATCCTATTTCCACATGGTTTTGATTTCTTCTTCTGGGTGCCTACATTTTAAAAGCTTTTCATTTCAAGTATCCTGGATATTATGAGAGTTTGATATGGCAACATCTAATAAAAAACTGTTCTTAAATTTTTACGGAAAAATATTATGTCCAGGAGATGATGGGCAAGAGTTTTGCTTGTAACGGTACCCTGGTTTCAGTATTATTATCATTATTATTATTTTTTCTGGTTTGAATAGTTTTCCTATTAGTAGTAATAAATCTAGATTCCTCCTTTAATATTGTGTTTTCTGTCAGGGTATATATTGAGATACAATTTAGAAGCAGTTAAGGCAGAAAATTTGTTTTGTTTGATCATGCATATTTGCAAGAAGTCCTTTTTTTTCTTCTCAATGGGAGAGGCAGGAGGTAGGAGGAAGAAAAAATAAGTATTTTTTAATTGAAAAAAATTAAAGTAAAAAAAATTCTATTTTTCAATTTCTCTTAGGTCAAAGAGACAAATTTATAACATGGCTGACCTGAATTCGGGTACAATACATGGAACAGAGAATAATAACTAGCCTTTTCAGAAATCATCCATGACCACGATTTCAGTACCAAACATAAGCTTTTAGGCCAATATATCACAAAGGATGGCAGTCTTAAACTAAAGAATCAAGGAGAATAAGTTTATTGTTTGATTACTCCACTGGTTTTCCCCTTACTTTATTTTCTAATGTTTGAAGTTTTGAAATAATAACTTGCAAATTGAGGGCTAATTTATTTTGAAAAGGGACATATATTCAAATACTAATTCTCCATCATGATGTAGGTAAGCAATGGTGCAAACATTAAGAATTATTTGGTTTTGGAATTAGATTTCCTACTTTTATAAAAATGTGTCTGACATTTTCAAAATTCAAGACTCTAAAAAAAGAATGACCATTATAAATACCTAAATCAGGAAAAAACAAGAAAGCTGCTCAGTTTTCCCATGTTTAACTCCTTTCTGCTTTCTATTCCTTGCTAAGCATCAAAGTCCCAGTGGTAAGCAGAGTGGTTATATTTATTCACAGCTTTCTAGGAGGAAGTAAATTAACTAGTTTAATTTTTTTTTAATCCTTTATTGTGACTACATTGAACTAGGAGAGAAGGAAGTAAGTTATAGCTTTTGAAATCTAACCAGGACTTAAATCAATGGAAGCTACGAGTAAAAAAAGAGGAATAGTATTTTAGAGACAGTTTTCTTGTATTATTTCTTGCATTATGCTGAGGTTTTTTGCTATGTCATGTTCTTCTAAAAGAACTATGATACTTAAGTTATTTCTGCACATCCTTCTTCGAGATCAAGCTTTTGCTTGTGTAGAAATCATGTGTTCTTTTAACATTGTTACCAGTTTTTCTTTTCTACCAGACTTTCCTCTATGTCAGTAGTTTTGCATGCGAAACCTGTTATTTTCTCTTTCGCTTCTTTGGAGAAGTTTGACACTGTGGCTTTAAGTTTTTCTAATCTGGTAATCATTTGTTGGTTGGTCACATGACCCAGAAGTTTTCTACAGTCATTGTTGTCAATTTTCATTAATATTTGAGATTCCTCCTTAATTAAAATCCAAATCTATATAGAAATATGTAACAAAATTAATTGAAATCTAACTGCATTATGCCCTCTCCTTTTTTTTTTTTTTTTAGCACCTCTGCCTGTCCATGAGACATGTCAATTTTCAGCAAGAACAAAAATGAATGCATGTAAAGTATTCTAGTATGTTTGAAAGAAACAGAAGGGAGAAAACGTTTTGCAAAGTGACTAAAAAGTAGTGCTTACATTTAGAATTGCTTTTCTTTTCTTTGCCAGATTGAGTGCTGGAATTTAGGCACCTTTTAGATAAGGGAAGAAGGACCACTTCTAATTCATTTTAAGCTCATTTTTTCTATGGCTTTCTGCTTGCTGGACAACAGTAGTCCAATGCAGGTTATGAAATGGTAGGGAAAGAAAGTTGGTTGGTTAGAAAAAATGGAGTATTGGTTTACTGCTCTTCTTCTGTTACTGCCAAAGAGAAACATTCAGGCGCTATCTCTTCATTCAAGTGTTCTCTGCTCTGGTCAAAATAAAACAAACTTGGACAAAAGTGTTCCTTAAAGGAAGAGGGCAGCTAGGTGGCACAGTGGATAGAGTGCTGGGTCTGAAGTCATGAAGATTAATCTTACTGAGTTCAAATCTGACCTCAGACACTTACTAGCTGTGTGACCCTGGCAAGTCACTTAACCATGTTTGCCTCAGTTTCCTCATTCTTAAAATAAGCGGGAGAAGGAAATGGCAAACCACTCCACTGTCTTTGCCAAGAAAGTCTCAAATGGGGTAATAGAGAGTCAGACATGACTGAAACAACTGAACAACAAAAAAAGGAAGAGCTGAATATGATACAAAGGAACTCACTGTCAAGTGTCACTCACCTAGTTTTACTTAGTTTCAGAATTGCTAAGTGACTGATTTTTTTAAAACCCTGGAAGACTTGGTTACTCTTTCAAAGCAATAAATAAAATTTAAAGAGGGGATCAAGAAGAGAAGAAAGAAAAGATAGTTTATGAAAGGAAACATTTTTATGCTCTTCTCAAAATGGCGAGGGACTATGTAAGGACAGAGTCTTGACTATATATATTCCACTAGAATTATAATAGAAGAAAAAAGTTAATTGAAGAAATAATGTTGTGTTGGCCTTTTTTTTTTGTTGTTAAAGATGACAATACTAGCCCAACAGTAGCAGGAAATATATTTTCATTTATTTTCAGTATTAGTTTGTACATTCTGGTTCTCCTTAAGAAGAGTCATACACAACAGTGTGGCCATATGCCAGGTGTCTAGGAATTAACCAGTCTGTGGGGTCAAAGCTACAAGCTTTGTTCATTCCTCTCTATACTCGTCTCCTGGCTCTTTGGACTTCTTTCTGCCCGTGCAGTTACTTCTTTTAAGCACCTCCCAGAACTTCCATTTTAAGGAAGGGTCCAAATTGGCCAGGTTCACTCCTCTCCAGACTTCTTTCTCTACAATGTCCCAACATAGGTACCTTCCTCCACACTCCTTTTTTCAGCTTCTTTTTATGTATTGTCTTCCCCCATTAGAATGTAAGCTCCTCAATGACAGGGACTGTATGTTTTGCTTCTATTTATATTCCCAGGGCTTAGCACATAGTAAGAGCTTGGTAAATGCTTGTTGGTTTGACTCACAACTTTGGTCTAAACTACATCATGCTCTAACGAAGAGAATTAGCTCAGCCTATCTTTAAAAATTAGTTTGTCAAAAAAAATAAAACAAAACACAAAACAACATTTCTTTTCTGCCACTCACTTAAAATATACTAAAGTTGAATACAACTTACAATTCACTGACGCCACTCCAGTAACCTCCTAAGGCCACACTTGACACGGCAATTATAAAGATGACCACCATAGTATAGTCAAATTTAGGTCGAGGTGGTGAATACAGTTTCACAGAAATGTTATTTCCAAGAGTCTGAAAGAAAAAAGCCAATTTTAAACATGATGATGAACACTTTCTAAGACACAAAGGTAATACAAAAGTATGGAAACAACAACACTTTATACTTCAATCTGGAATAGACTCTGTGACTAACACCAGACTTAGGCAATTGGAATACCAGATCTCGGCTACTGGTAGGCATGATAAGTTCTTAGGAGGGAAGCCATGCATGCTTTCCTGTACTAACACTGATTGAGGGAGGGATCAACATTGGTGTCAAGGGGAAGTGTCAACATTGGTTGACATAAACTTGAAAGTGAATATTTTGATGACCACAATAAAATGATTTTTAAAGATGCTTAAAGACTAGAGACTGCTGATAAATATAATGACCAATTATGACTTCAGAACCTGTCTTTTGTAAAGTATACTTCCTGTCTTTAGGTAGAGAGGTAGCATACTATGGATGAGGAATACGGAATGGATTTTCGGACATAGTAAATTTGTTGTTTTGTTTGTTTAATGTACTAATTTGTTACAATGGAGGGAATGGGATAGTGGTGGGGGTAGTTACTGGAAAGTAACAGTGATGTTAAAAAATAATATCAATAAAATATTTTTTAAAAGTTCACGATTTATAATATCACATATCATTCAGTCACTTAAAGTAAGCATAATTTACACAAAATAGGAGGATATTAAGTAGAGTCAAAACCAACAACTATGGTCATGACCAAATTAGCAATTCCATGCTGATAGGTTCTAACAGAACCCTCATTCACATCATAGAACACCACAGTTAATCTGAAAACAATCTGGAAGGTTCTTCATAAATTCAGATTTTTCAGGATGATCTCAAACCAGCATTTCATAGGAATATAGGGGCTTTATCCTGATTCTCACCATTTCACTGCAAAACCCAAAGGTATGGGGATAAATTAGGGAGCTCCTTATTTGAAGTCAAGTCAATAAGCATTTATTAAGTGCCTTCTATGTGTCAGGTGCTGTGCTAAGCACTGAGGGATAGAAAGTAAAAAACAGTCTTTCCCCTCAAGGAGCTCACAATCTAATGGGGAGAGACAACATGCAAATAACTATGGCAAACAAGATATATATAGGATAAATTGGGGATACTCTCGGATGGAAGGCACCAATACTAAGGAGTTTAAGAGAATTCCAGCTAGCGCGGTTCCCTTCAAAGCAGTTTTTTACTGCTCTCATGTCAATGAGCAGATGAACAAGGTTCAGTAATATATAATATAAACAAAAGTATAACGGCTTCTCTGTATACTCTTCTCTAAAAGTCCATTCCCTGTACTGTCTCACTCCCGTTATATGTTCTCCTTTTATATTCCTACTCTATCTAATGCAGTCTCTCATCATCAGTTTCTTCATCAAGTCTCTGTACCTAGAAGCTGATCTTTAATTTGGATAACATCATGTCATGGGTCCCATCCTTCCAAAGCCCAAACTATCCATGTGGCAGAGTAAACCCTATAGCCTTCTTGAGCCAGATGCTGACAAACTATTTGATATTTCTTGACTTTGCCAGCTTTGTCGATTTTCAAAGGGTATGGTAACATCTATGATAGTGGTAGTATAGGTTTTATTGTTCAAAATAACTAGATCTGGTCTTAAGGATTTTCCAAATCTTGGAACTGTCAAAGTTACCTGCACCTCGGTTGTTTCTGGGACTCTGATGTATTTAACCAGCCTATTTAAAATAGCATTGTGCTACTGAGTAATAGCTTCACTCAGCTGAGCTCTGCAATGGCAGAAGACATGGGAGTTTTTCATTTGATGCCCTACACCAACCTCCAGAGCCAAATCTTCTGGCCCCTATTTAATGGGACACAATCCAGTATGGCTCTGTAAATAAAATGCCAATCTGTGAACCAGGTAAACGATCCCTCCCTCATAAGTTTCAAGCTGAAACCAGACAGGTAATGGAATATACTTTACCCTGATCAGGTTTGCAGACTAGCTGTTGTTTAAAACCATGTTTCAGTGCTTGATTTAAATTCCTTTGCACACCTTCTAAGGCCAAGGGACTGCCATTTAGCCATTAAGACAAGACATTGTTACTTGCTCTTCATTCAGCTGGAATTTTACAGGCAATCGCTGGGAAGCTACCCACAGTTGGGACTAGATGTTGGATGCTGCTGTGCCCTTGTTTCCAAACTTCTCCAGAGCCATTTAACAAATGGCAAGATCTTCTGGCTGAAGGCAGTGCTTAATTCTATTCCTTACTGTACTGCTGAGGGAATAATGGGAGAGCCGACCCATATCAATTGACCTCACCCCATGAACCATCTGTCCAATATCTGCTGCTATACCTAAAGGTACGCCTTCCCATTTTATAGGGGAGGTACAGAGGCTCAATACTGGGTCTTTGGGTGTGGTATAGTTATCTCTTGTCATCTTTTTAAATTGTCCTAGTGAAGAGATTGAAGGCACTCTTGAGGCTCACACTGTTTTAAAGATAGAATGAGATACAGGGTAAGATTAAAGTATTTACTATGTCTATTTTCTGCTGGGGAGCCCATTTCAACTAATCCACAAGGTCTAACTCTGGTCGTGTTAGTTATTACGTCCCTGGAAGAGTTTGTGGAATCCACAGTGATTCTGAAGTAAGGGTAGTCATTTTCTTTGAACATCACTGAAATCTCCTGACTGCACTTGGAATTGAATGGAGAGTTCCTCCTTTTCTCAGCCATCAATTAACAAGGACACACATTTGGTCCCATTAAAATGTAGTCCTGCCCAAGTGGCCAGCTTATTCATGTTGTCCAGCATTTTGCTCAGAGAGCATAAGGTATCAGCTACTATGGTTAAGTCATCAGCATGCAGCAGGACATTAATTTTCCTGTACTACAATTTGCTGTCTTCATCAGGTAATGGATTATTAGTTCTAGGGTTAGATTCAAAACTATAAGGCTAAGAGGACAACCCTACCTTACTACTGCCTGGATGTCAATGCTCAGTGTAAGGTTATCTCTAGTGTGGACAGAAGTCCGACTACTTGAGCAGTCTCCGTAAAACACCAATCACCTCATTGTGCAAACTGGCCCATCTTAGCTCTAGCTAGAGCACTGAGTCAAAAGTTTTAGTCACATTGATGCAGATCACCCCACACAATTTCTTTTTGTTTGGCTTCATCCAAGTTGGATTACAATCAGAAATTATGCTCCTTGCAGTCATCAATAGGTAGGAAGCCCTTTTGACCCCTGCTAATACATTCATTCCTTGTACTCCAATTACTAAGTCTTTTTTGACAGGATGGAGGCACAGATCTTATCCAAGGTGTTACCCAGGGATACAGGTCTTCAGTTGGAGGGCAGATTCCTATTACCTTTCTTATGGATTAAAATAGTAGTGAATAATTGCCACTCCTTTGAGTCATAATTATATTTGTGTGATACATTAAAAATGGTGGCTAAAATCTCTCTCTCTCTCTCTCTCTCTTCCAGGAGCCAAGATGGTGGAGTAAGAAGTAATTTGCTCTTACCCTCCCTTATTGACCTCTGAAAGCCCATAAAATATCCAGGAAAAACCCTGGAACAGCTGAGCCAGCAGAAAGATGGGGTGCAGCAGTCTTGTAGCCCAGGAAGCTAGGGGGATTAACAGGAAAGGCCCCTCCTGCTCTGGGGAAGGGGGAGCAGTACAGGACAGGAAGTGTCCCAGCAAAACAGGAGCAAGCCCCACCTCAGCAAACCAGGGGGAGATCATGAACCCCAGGATGGTAGAGCAGGCAAACACCAACACCAGGACACCCGTCCCCCCAGTGCCTTAGCACAGGCAGGGTAACTGGTAAACACCAGCTCAGAAAACCACCAAGTGTGCTGGCATTCTCCAGCAGCAAAATCTCCTGGTGCTTCAGCACAACTCCAGGCTGGCAGACATCCTCCAGAAGCCAAACATTCAAGTGCTTTAAAGAACGCCGGGTGAGCAGGTGTCCTCCAGGGGCCTGACACCCCACCCCCATCCTCACCGCAAGAGCTCCAGTGCTGCTGACTCCAGTTCATCACCAGGTAAGCTGCTGGACCCCTACAGCCTCCAGCTGCCAGCACTTAAGGCCCTAGCACACAAAGCCAGTGACCAGGTCCTGGATTCCCAGCACAAGAAGCTTGAGTCAGTGACCTCTCTGCTCCAGCAGGAGAGCCCAACTTTAAATAGGAAATAGGCAAACAGCATGAGCAGAAAGCAGAAACAGACAGATGGCCATAGATTCTCATTATGGGAACAGGGAAGATCAAGGCACAAATTCAGAAGAGGACAACACTGTCAATATACTCACATCTGAAACTTCAAAGGGGAATATGAACTGGTCTCAAGACCAAAAAGCCTTCTTGGAAGAACTCAAGAAGGATTTTAAAAGTCAAACAAGAGAGGTAGAAAAACAATTGGGAAAGGAAATGAGAGGTATGCAAGAGACAGTCAATAGCTTGGAAAAGGAGGGAAAAAATTGACTATAGAAAACAAGTCCTTAAAAAATACAATTGGCCAAATGGAAAAGGAGGCATAAAAACTCACTGAAGAGAAGTCCTTAAAAAATAAAATGGATCAAATGGAAAAGGAGGTATAAAATCTAATAGAAGGAAACAATTTGTTAAAAATTAGAATTGGGCAAGTGGAAGTTAATGACTCTATGAGATCAGTCAAACAGAAATAAAGAAAAAATAGAAGAAAATGTAAAATACGTCATTGGTAAAAGAACTGACCTGGAAAATAGATCCAGGAGAAACAATTCAAAATTATTGGTCTACTTGAAAACCATGATTGAAAAAAAGAGCCTGGACAGTATCTTTTAGGAAATCAAGGAAAACTGCCCTGAGGTCCCAGAACCAGAAGGTCAAATAGTTATCAAAAGAATCCACCAATCACCTGAAAGAGATCCCAAATTGAAAACACCAAGGAAAATTGTAGCCAAATTCCAAAATTACCAGGTCAAAGAGAAAATACTACAAGCAGCCAGAAAGACACAATTTAAATATCATGGAATGACAGTCAGAATTACACAGGACCTTGCAGCT